AATTAGAAAGATACGTCTTAGTATGTAATGTAACACCACTATGACAAAAAACTCCTAAGTCTCTTATCAAATACTGAGCAAATGTCAAAGTGACAAAATCAAAGGTAACTATAACTATGTTTATTTTAAAATTATGTAAAATACTTGCAGTAGAGTTAGAAAGTAAGTTAATGCTATTAACAGTTACTATGTTGTAGAATTTATTTATTGGTGTTTTTAGAATTTCGATTTTTGAATGACTTTTACTTATTTTAATCAGACCCATGGGGATTTTTTTTAAATACTACCTCCACTAGTTGATATACTTCATACAACATACTGCCAACGCCCAGATAGATATGATCGTAGAAAATATTTCAAATTGCTAAATCCAAACTGAGAAAGTTTTGTTAAAAGTATGTGTTGATCCATCCTATCGAAAGCTTTTGAAAAATCCATATAGACTATATCAACTTAAGAACCTGCTTCCATAACTTTACATGTATATGGTAAAAAGCAAACAGAATTGTAACTATAGATCTTTTTGGAAAGAATCCATGTTGTTTATCCACAATTAGGTGTTTTACCTGATATAACAATTCAGGGGTCTAATATCAAGAGCAGCAAACTCCACCATTCCCTCACTTCGACTCCCGAACATGTAAGGTCCTATAATTAAATTTGCAATTGAAATTGATACTGAACTAAAAGTTTACACCGAAGTTTATAGTTTAAACTACGTTGTAAACTTTTGGATCAGTATCAACTATCCACGGCCATGTTCAGAGCATTAATGTTGGAGTACCGCTTATGAAAACCACACTGATGTTTGTTAAACTTGTTTCTGCCATTTAATTCCTCCTCCAGGCTTCCCTTGTTTAGAGATTCGGACCCGCGGAGTTCAATAGTCATTATATTGGTATATAGGGTGTTCCAGGTTGAGCGTGCATTAGAAGTTTGTGCTAAGAGGAAAAGTGTGCTAGAGAACTATAATGTTTAGATCGGAGATTTTTTGCACATCGTTGTTTCACAACGTCTATCGATTAAAAATATTTTCGATATGGCGTGGCGGCACTTCCGGAAATACCGGAACTTGACAGCAACTTTCTTATTTTAAATTTGTGTTCCAATTTTTTATTACATACTTAAATTCTCGGTAAAATTTGATGAATTTTGTTATTAAAACACTCTATATCTAACATTAACCATTTTTGAGAAAAAAAAATATTTCAAATTTTTGGACGAAAAAAACTGCCTGTTAAATATATGTGTATATCCTAAACGTCAAATTTAGTGATTACAACAGACACTGTGCCATAAAGAGAAGACATGTGGCTATCTATTTCAAAAATTAAATTGTTCGAATGTCATATAACAATGGCCGCAGCTGTCATGGAATCGAGATATTAAAAAATTATCACAAAGATTTTTTTTCAAATGGAAACGCACTTTTTTATTTCACTAATGAAAAGGTTTTTTAATTCGTTACTTTCTGATTATACATGTTCCTATACCCAAAATAAATCGTTTTTAAGTTATTTAGGATTTAGTTTTGAAGCGTAATTTTTTCTTGATTTTATCAAGCTTTCTTTGGCATTAAGTGTCAAACCATCAGCCAGTTTATTTCCTTCTGTCAAAAAACTAATTATTTGAATTTCGTATATTACAAATACTGCTGCTAAAACTTTATAAAGTGTATTTATAAAAATATATCTCGTATTTTAGTGATATCTAATGGCAATATGACATGGCCAGTAGGGTGGAGCGAAAAACAAAGAATTTTCGAAAATTCGCTTGAGCACTTAGCACTATATGCTAAAAGTTGTCTTTATAGTAGCAAATTATGAGTAATTTTTTTGACCTTGATATCATACCCCGCAATGACCTTGAAATATTTTTTTTAAATTTTTTTTTAGAAGATAGCACTATGCGCTAAAAGTTGTTCAAATAGTAGTAGATCATCCATGATTTTTTTCAAAATTTTCTTATACTCCCCTCATGGCCCGCAATGACCTTAAAATATGTTCAGTTTTAAATTTATAGAAAATTTCCTGAATCTCGAAGAATTCTCTTCGCTAATTTCCTCAACTACCCAAAACACACCACGGGGAGGTGGCTGCATTTCGTGTTCCACCACCCTTCTCCGCCCGCCAACCACCCGATAGTTTAATCATAATATTGTTAATTTTGGAGTTATCTATTAAATAATATATACCTCATTATTCTGCCTTATAATCTCGCTTGGTTTCAAAACTGGCATTATATTGCAATCTCGAAGTAATGATCTTATAAAACCATCACGAGCACTAGCTTCACAAACGCCTAAAGAAGCTTTAGAAAAAAAATTTAACACACCTTTCTGTAGCTTGGGTGTGACAAGGTAGGTTGAAAAGCAATGAAAGCGTAGGCGAATTTTCCCTAATTTCTTTTTTTAATTCTTCATCAATTAAATGTCGCGTTAGTGTTGGCTCAATAATAGCTTGCTCTTGCCAAAAAATGAGTTCAATATAGTCATTTGCCAAAAAGTTTATTGTAGGAATTTCAAACTTTCTGATTTTACCTTGTGCCGCCGACTCCTTCGTCCTAATGGATAATATTCGGCGCATAGCTAGCTCTCGAATGTGTCGCCTCTCATCAGCAAGCATTGCAACTAGTAAACTTTCAGAATGAGCAAAGAATGCATTCCTTTGTATGGTTTTATCAATAATTTCTCTGAGATCTTCTCTCAGATATCGACTCAAACGTATAGTGCGCTGGTCACAGCTTGTTAAGCAAATTTAACCGAGTATCTTTTATTTTGGGCTTGGTTTTAATGTTAAACCACATACAGGGTGGCCCATCGAAAACGTTCCGCAATGCATAACGGCTAGGGTATTCTTTTTTTCAAAAAAATCCAAAAACACGTCAATTTTGTTTGTGAGGGGGACAACTTTTGCCCCGTACCGACAGTTATGCCAATTAACTACACCGTTCAAAAAGAAAGTACACTCATCCGAAAAACACACATTAAATAGGAAATTATTATCATTCGTCACTCGTTCACTCACAGTTTCACAAAATTGCAAGCGACGATCAAAATCGTCTTCGTTGAGTTCTTGTACCAACTCAATTTTGTACGGGTGGAACTTGTGTTTTTTTAATATCCTTTGGACACTGATACGATTCACGCCGGCTAATTTTGCATTGGCTAATTTTCTTGTACTCAGCACTATCCATGGCAACTTGGCCCAATACGAATACCTCCATAGCTTCATTTGCTACAGGATTTTCCCTCTGCCTCTTTTTATTCATAACGGAACCAGTTTCGCGAAATTTTCCTACTAACTCGCGAACAATTTTGCCATAAAGGTGTTTTTCAGGATGGCATTCATTGAATATCTGCGGAACCCGATTGCTACATTCATTATTTTTAAAATAAAGTTCGATTATTTCCACTTTTTCTGCAAGTGAGTACACCATAATTGTTAAAAAGTTTAACGATATTGAGAAGAACTTCAACGCACAAGTCACAGCTATCTAGCAACTGCCGCACCTGATCGTTCAACCTTATGGCAAGTGAAAAAATGCGTAAACATCTAGAAATAATAAGGAAAACAGCAAATTGGTCGAAGGAATGTATCCTTATCATTTACTCTGATAAATGTTTAAATAAACTTTTCAAATTTCAATCCTTCATATTTTCTCAATGACTCGACCGATTTTCAAAAAGGAAGCGGGAAAGTATAGAGAACAAAAAGCCCTTTTCATTGCGGTACCACTTGACCCCCCTTCCCATTTGAAAAAAGTTGGGGGATGACACCCCCGCTTAGAGGGTTGAAGATTTTGCAATCATTTTTGGGGCAAAAGTTGTCCCCCTCACAAACAAAATTGACGTGTTTTTGAATTTTTTGAAAAAAAAATTACCCTGGCTGTTATGCCTTGCGGAACGTTTTCGATGGGCCACCCTGAATACTTTATTAATAAACGTAGCAATTTCTACCAGGTTTTCTGATGGGGCAGGGGTACTTACATAGAGTCTCAATTCTATTCGCGGTGGTAAGCCATCTTGCGTGTGATAATTTACCAGGGTTCTTAGAGGCAAGAAAGGAAATTCACCTGTACTCACAGCGTTGGTTACGTTAAAGAGATATTTTTGGTCTGTACTCAGTTGTTCTCTATCTACTTCAGGAAGTTCACATTTAATGCGTTTATAATTTATGACAGGTAACTGGTCCCATCTTGTTCATTTTTTTCCGATAGCTCCCGAGAACCATCTAGGACCAGACGTAGTTCCATGTAACTTTTCAATCAAATGCCTTAAAGGAAGTTCGGTTGAGTGTAGCTGACAGACAATCCAATGCAAATGTCTCTCGAATTGTTTTTCTAAAGAACAGATGACACCACCAATGTTGCCTGTATTCACAACTGTTCAGTCGCAACCTATTGCTAGAATATTGGATGTGTTAATATTCGCTTCAGTTAAAAAGTTAAATATTGCGGTCTTAATGTTTTCAGCTGACCCAGTTATTGGAGAAACGTGCCCTAGGTAACTTGATCCATTCGTAAATAATTGAAATAAACTCATCGGCAAAAGTCTTGCACCTCCTTACTATTTTAATAAAAAATTACATTCCAAACTAATTTTTCGTGCAAATCAATAGATGCTAAAGTTATGTTAAAAAATAACACAAAAAGGGAAAACTTTCACCAAGTTTAATAATATATTTTTCCAAAATATAAAAAATGCAAATTCCATGAAAAAAATATTTGAAAATAAATAATAAATTCTGACAAAGTTAAGGTTACTATATAAAGTATTGCCTCCTCGATTTGTTATGAGTGCATCAAGTCGTCGGGGCATCCCCACTATAAGGTTATTTATGGTTTCTTGAGGTAAGTTCTGCCATTCCTCTTGAGCGGCAATGATCAACTCCTGGCGATTTGTTGGTGGGTTATTTCTGCGAAATACAGCTCTGGCGATGTAGTCCCAGACATGTCCAATAGGATTCATGTCGGGGAGAGTGGAGGCCAGTCCAGACGAGTTATTTCCCCTCATTTAATGCTACCTGGACTATCCTAGCTCTGTGAGGACGAGCGTTATCATCCATGAGAATAAAATTATTGCCGATTTCTTCTCGCAGTGGATAAATTATTGGTCTGATTACAGTTTCCACATACAAATGGGCGTTCATCACCTCAGGAATATGAATGAGCTCTGTTCGCCTATTGTACATGATGCCACCCCAGAACATCTCAGTTCCTCCTTGATAAGGAGCAACAGCAAGGGCTGTATTCAAGCGATGCTGCCTCCCTGCCTCCCTCCACACTCGCTGACGATAGTCATCACTGATCAAACCTATCCTGGTTTCGTCAGTGAAAATTACGTTTCTCCACTGAGGTAATAACCAGTTCTGGTGTTCTCTCTAGCCCACTGTAGCCTCCCTTTGTCTATGATGTAAAGTTAATAGAGGGACTCGCAGTGGACGTCTACGCCGCAATCCAGCATTAGAAAGTCGCCTGGAAATGGTTCGGCTTGATATCACTCGGTGGTAAGTTCGTTGAAACTGAGATCGTAGCTCTAGAATTGGAACTGACCGATTTCTTCTGGCAAATTGAGCCAAGTAGCGATTCTGTCGTTCAGTCGTTATCCTTGGACGGCCCAACCTAGGACGAGATCTTACATTTCCGGTGTCCATATACCGTTGTATAATTCGGCTGACAATACTTCGCACTAAATTTAAACGATCAGCAATTTGATGCCTGCTGAGACCTTCTTCATGCAAAGCGATAAATCGGGCCCTATCGAAGGCAGAAATTTTGTGCCCTGCCATTTTTGTCGCCTTTCACAACACTTACTACAAGATTGAACTCGAACTGAGAAACAAAATTTGACCGTAAATAGCAAAACCATACACATTCCTTCGATAAGGTTTTCTTTCATTGCTTTTATGACCTATTTTTTGTAGACACATATTAAGGTATTTGTACACACAGCCACAACAATATGCTATGCAAAGAAATAAATTTGTCTGGGGGGTGCAAGACTTTTGCCGATGAGTGTATGTTCTTCTGTAATTATTTTTCGTTTAATATTACCACCGTCTGGTCGAACCATTCGATCTGGTCGAAACAAATCGATGTTCAAGTCCTATCGATCTTCAATGTATTTTCGTTTTCTCAGCGGCGGGGAATGAAAACATTTTTTATTAATTTTGAAAAAAATTACAGGATATCTAGTATAGGAAAGGTAACTTTTGGTCGATTGTGCTAATTAATTTAGTAAAAAAAAATCACTCCACCCTAATGGCCAGATATAGTTTTACATCGCCTGATGTTTAAAGTCATAGACTACTGGTTAAAAACCAGAAAAATATACGCTTTAAAATTAAATCTTAAATAACTTAAAAACGATTTATTTTAGATATAGGCTATACAAATTTTTTTGACAGGCAGTTTTTTTCCTCCAAAAATTTTAAATATTTTTTTCTCAAAAACGGTTAGTGTTAGGTATAGAGTGTTTGATATCAAAATTCAGAAAATTTTACAGAGAATTTAAATTTATAATAAAAAATTGGGGTACCCATTTAGAATAAGAAAGTTGCTGTCTTATCCGGTATTTCGGTATTTCCGGAAGTGCGGCAATATTGAAAATATTTTTAAGCGATAGATCACATTATGAATCAATTATGTGCAAACAATCTCCGATTTAAATATTGTAGTTCTCTAGAAACTTCTAATGCAAGCTCAGCCTGGGACACCCTGTATATGACTTAACATCATTTGTTCCTTCCACATATTGGGAAATTGTTGTGAAAAGATAAGTATACACAAAAAGTGTTTACTTATCTTTTAAGCATTAGTATGTCTTCAAAGGTCCCCAGAAAACATCATTACTCCAAAAACAAGTTAAATGAATTAATGTCGTTTCCAACAAAAAAAACGTGATTTTGTTTCTCCATATTTCAACGGGTCACAGACGTATACTAATATTTTTCTTATTCAAAGTTTCCACAGCTTTTTCTAATAGAACTTTTTGAATAAAAGAACTTTTGTCTGTAATGTGAGATACGTGAATATTTTTTGTCGAGTTCGGCTACCTTATTTTTCAAGAAAATATGTTTTTCTTGCTAACTACACGTCAAAAACAATGAACGTAATTTATTATTTTATACGTCCTAGCCATCCTAAACCCTTATATTTTTTTGCTTCTCATTGTTAGTTAAAATTTCTTTTATACGTGACAGGAGCACAAAGGATTAATTAAAAATGAAAAATATATTTTGTAATTTATATAAATGAATACTTGTGTGAAATTGAATATATATATCCATGTTCATATACAGAATTTCCACGCAAACTCTGCGTTAAAGATTCTTTAGCCTTTAATTTTATCACATAATCTAGTTTAGATACAAATTTGAATGTTTAGATTATGCAAATTGCGAGGTGTACAGGGCGTCCTATGTATGTCAAGATGCTTTTTTAGTTTCGCTAATGATTTCTAAGTGAAAAACTAAGAGACTCAGTTTTAACGAAGGTCGAAAAATTAAAAATTTTCAAATTCGCCCTGTATTTCAGGAACTAAGACGGCTAGAACAAATCTGTGTGTAGCATCTTTAGTTTCATAAATAAGGACCACAGTGATGTGAAAACTGCATCTTCGTAGCTCTACTTATGAACGAGAAACCCTGCAAAACACACGAAATGAGACACCTTGTAATTTCTTTGAAAATATTCTCTAGTTTCTGCTACTTGTGGTATCAGCGGGGTGCCATCTAAAATGTACATTTCTTGACAAAAGTAGATCTGAAATTCAGGTCTTCTTTTGTCAAGAAAGTTGTCAAAAAGCTTTCGATGCATCGGCAAAAGTCGATGCATCGAATTGAAAATATCGATGTTTTCGATGCATCGATGTATATCGTGCATCCCTAATCTGAATACACTTTTAACTACATCACACTAAAGAGATGTGCGATATACAGATCGGGACAGGCAAACTCTGCGGGTTGGATTTTAACGTGTAAGACAGTGATGTAGACAGCTTAATGGCAAATCAAATGTATTAAAAAGTAAATATATTTCTATAGTTTCAGAGATATTAATAAATAAATAAAAAAATATATATTTTTCAGCCTTTCTTTAAAAAATTATTAAAAATACAAGAACTGTCCTGAAATCAAAACTGTATTAGGTATTTACTTTAGGTAGTCTGTACTTACTTAGCTATAAATATGGTAATTGTAAATCATACAGGATGTTTTTTAAATTTTCTTAAATATAAAATTTTCTTGTTTTTTTTTAAATGGGACATCTTGTATATTATTATTTATTAGATGGAGAATTATAAAATGAACATTTTTTGTATTTAGATTATTTGAAAATTGTTAACGGTTTTGCAGATAATCGCGGTTTTATATTTCATACGGCATTTTTTTCAGTTAATTTTTATCAAAGCCACGCAATGATTTTTCTCTCGTATTTAACCGTTGAAAGATCCATATGAACCATTAAAATTTTTGAAATACTTTAAATACAAAAAATGTTAATTTTTTAACTCTCCATCGAATAGAAAATAATATACAGTGTTCCACTTAAAAAAGAAAGAAAAATTATTTTATATTTTAGAAAGTTAGGCGTAGAATTTTAGACACCCTGTATGATTTAAGATTACGATATTTAAAGCAAAGTAAGTATAGACCATCTAAAATAAATACCTGATATAGTTTTGATTTCAGGACAGTTCTTCTAACCGAGACAAGTTGAGAGCCGCCCGCAGCAATGGATAATTATTGCTGCCGGCGCGCGGCTGCCCTCAAAATTTTGCCATTTAAATTTTTAATTTTAAATAACTCGGTTATTATCAATTTATTTTAAAACTTGTAAAGAGAAAATATGTTTCTTTTGGCCAGATTTCCCCCCCCCCCTCCCCCTTAAAATACTTGCACTTATTTCTGGGACACCCTGTATAATATTTTTGTAAAATTTAGTATTTTATCTCCATCTGATAACTTTCATATGTATGATTTTGATAAGTTAAAAATATTAACAGTTTATAAAAAAATTACATATTTTTACGAGAATATTTTATGTTCTATTTTATGGAAAATGTCTTAAAGGGGGGGTTGAAATCATTTTGGCCATGTCTAAAAATAAATGGACGATATAAATCTGCCTAAATTAAAATCCTTTGTCGTCCTGAGAAGCGGCTTTCCAGGCAATTCCCCAAAATCTTCAATCTGAATTTATTGAGATAAATATCAATTTGTTTTCGAAATTGAGTTTCGGCATTCGTAGTTCAATTCTTTAGTATCGTGCCTCTCGTTCAAATACTCTACAAAGATTTTAATTCGGCATAAAATCTGTTAATAGATAATTTAGCTTTAAAATAACCTCTTTATTTCTGATATGATCATAGTGGTATTGAAAAATTTCCAGGAAATTTCAGGAATCAACAAAAAATCAAAATATAATTTCATAAAAGATTATATTAAAACGTTTAATAACTTTTTAAAAGTTTGTATCAGGGAATGGACAGTGTCTTTAAAGAAGGATTAAAAACCCAGAACATTTAAAGTAACCACACATTCTTTTGCTTTACAGATTCACAGGCGGGTACCATTACTGTTTGTCCTTTAGTAATATATGTACGGGTGTCTCATTTTCATGTGTTTTACAGAGTTTCTCGTTTATGAGTAGAGATACAAAGATGCGGTTTTCACATCATTATGCAACTTTTTATGAAACTAAAGATGCTATACACAAATATTTGCCTAGTCTCCTTAGTTCCTGAAATTCCTACAGGACGAAATTGAAAATGATACATTTTTCGACTCCCCTCGTATCTTGGATATCTTATAACTTATCAACAAGATGAAAACTATGTTCATTAGAATTTTCAGCAGATAATAAAAACTGAAAGTCAGTTCTAATCATCTACTGATGATGCTAACATAGTTAGCGAAACGGGAGTTCAGTGAAAAAATAAGTAAGGAAGTAAGTTTGGCGTATAATAGTGAATTTGACTTTAACATAATTCAAAGTGAGTTTTCCATTTTCAATATAATTATGACCCAAAAAGTATCTGGAAAATTAGAATTAATAGAGATGCAAGAAGATCAAGCTCTACAAATAAAATATAATTACTAAAATTACTAAGATTACTAAATTTTGGAAATTTGTACCAGAATCGAAGTATCCTGAATTAAAAAGGCTGCTGACCGATCAGTATTAACTAACCAGCAGAGCTGCAAGCTGCAAGAAAACTTAATTTTTTTTTTACTTAAACCATTTTAATCACTTAAGTCATTAAAAAAGATTTAAGTCTTTTTAGAAAAGATTTAAGCCATTAAAAAAGATTTAAATCTTTTTTTAAGTCATTTTACTTACTAAATATTTTTAAAGATTTAAGTCTTTTATGAGATTTAAGTCTTTTTAGAAAAGATTTAAGTCTTTTTAGAAAAGATTTAAATCTTTTTTTCGTATATTTTTTTCCTAATTTTTTAATAGCGGTATCAAATATATGTTTACCATATTTAGTTTCAATAAAAAAGTAGCAACTGTGAAACCCGTATCTTTGTACCGCTGCACAGTGCTTCGAACATATGGCTCTAGAGGACAAAAATACAAAACTTCTCTTTTATTGTAGGCAATTTATTCAAACTAGGTTTATTTGTCACAAACGATGAGTACTCTCATTGTACTAAATGATGATATTCTTAGTCCCACGTTTATGAAAAAAAAATCTTATAAATAATAAAAATGTTGGAGCTGTGTTTCATCTAAGGAAATAATAATTTATAGTATGAAAACGGTGTAAGTATTAAATAAATCC